CGCAGCGCGGAGCCTGGTGCGCAGCAGGTAGGGGCGGCCCGGCCCGGCCCGGCCCGCGAACCCCGGCGCGCGAACCCCGGCCCGTCCCGTCCCGTCCCGTCGGTTTCCTCGCGAGGCCGCCCCCAGCGCGGAGGCGCCGGCGGGTCGGGGTTGTCCCCAGGGTCCCCCCCGCGGCTCAAACCTCCCCTTCCCCCCACCCGACTCGGCCCAAGCGCCGCTTGCCCCACTGATCCCGGCTCAAGCAGCCCTCCGAGCCACCCCACTAATCCCGCCCGGGTCCCCCGATCCTTCCTGGACCCCCACTGCCCCACCTGCCCCCACTCGCCCCACTAATGCAGCCCTGAACCCCGATCCTTCCTGGACCCCCCATTGCCCAGCCTGCCTCCACCTGCCCCACTAACCCAGCCGGGATCCCCCAATCCTTCCCTATCCCCAGTTCCTCATCCTGGTTCCCCCTGGACCTTTCAACCCCACCCAAACTTCACCCCAACCTTTCCCCCCGTCCTTAGTCCCCCASTTCCTCCCAGCCCCATAGCCTGGCTCCCTGCCTTCCTTCTTCTCCACCCCTGCTGCCCTCTTCCCCCATTCCTCCCATCCTGTCCCCTTCTGGGGGGTGGCAGCCCATGGGCCCCCATTCCAGGCTGAGTGTCCCAGCGGGGGTGCATGGACTGGACCAGGRCCTGGGGGCAGGTCCAGTCCCCGAGCTGTGGGCACAGCTGTGCCCCATGGCATGTCCCCCTCGACCCGTGATATAGGGCACCCTCCAGCCGCCCTCCTCTGCCTTTGCTAGAGCAGACGGGGACGCGAGGCCGGGGGCTGTCCTGGCTCCCCRTGTCCCTTGTCCCCAGGGTGGCTCTGTGTGGGGACACGCACTGCCTCTCGCCATGGGCCTGGGATCCCGCCAGTCCGACGGGAAGTGCGTGCGGCCACCCGCGGGTTGCAGGGCAACCTGCGGATCCAGCTTTCCGGGGCGAAGTCCGCCCGGGCCGGAGCTGCCCGGCGCGGCAGGAGGAGGCAGGAGGGCAGYGCGGGTCAGGGGACGGGGTCCCTGCGTCCGGCGCCAGCGTGGGGCTGGTGCCGCTTTCCAGACCCCCCCGGCACCGGGTGCTGCCGTGCTGGCCGGTGCCAGGCACGCGCAGGGCTGGTGTGGGGTGAGCGGCCCGGTGTGGCAGCACGGGGGAGCCTGGCCCCCTTGGCGGGGGCTCCTCTGCCACCCGCAGCACCCCCGGGCAGAGCTTTGGGGCAGGGAGAGGCTGGGAGCCGTCGGGGCGATGTGGGACACGGCAGCCGGGCAGGGCAGCGGGCTCCGCGGTGCTGTCGAGTCCGGTGGGCGCAGGGAGGGGGACCCGCTGACCCGGCCCGTGTGAGCCAGGCCGAGCCTGGCCACGCGCTCCGGGGCCGAGCCCTGAGCTGTGCTGGGCCGAGGCAGGCCGGGGCCGTGCCCGCAGTGCCGTGCTGAGCCGAGCCGTGCCAGGCTGCGCCGGGCCGGGCCGGGGGAGCCCTGCTGAGCTGCCGGGAGCCTCCCGGCGCTCCGAGGAGGCAGATTAACTCCAGGGCAGCTTTGCCCRGGCAAGCCTAGGGAAGGCGAGGAGCCCAGTCCCCAAGCCCTGTGCCCGGTGAGGGGGTGCCCTGTGCATCTCGAGGAGGTGACCGGGATGTGGGTGCTGCGTGGGGCGGCAGGGGCTGCAGGAACCGTGTGCCCCCCATTGCTGCTGGGCTYGCCCCCCCGCGTGCGCCCTTATCTGTGCTGAGTCACGGTGCACGCGGGGTGGCCGGGGTGTCTGCGCCGGGGCCACCGAGCTGGCCCGGGCAGGGCTTGTGTCCCCGTGACGTGCCGTGGGGTTTCCGTGGCCCGCGCCCGTATTCCGGAGAAGGAAGCGAGAGCAGGGCAGCCGGGGCTGCCTCCCGCCGCCACGCTGGGCTGCTGGAGCGGGGTGACGTCCCGAGGCCGCAGGCTGCTCCGGCGCCTGGCGCTGGGCTCGGCGGCTCTGCCGGCGCCCGGGCCCCTTCCCGGCCGCGCGCCGCGCTCCTSCCTGGGTGCGGCGGCCACCGGGCACCCGTCGGGCGGGTTCGGCCTCTGCGCCGGCATGTCCCGCAGGGAAGGGAGCTGGGCACCCCRCATCCCCCCGCCGGGGTGGCCGGGGGACCGAGCCTCCGGTGCTGGCTGTGGCAYGGGGGGCACCCAGCGTTGGGGAGCGCCAACAACCGTTTTGCACTGGCAGGACCTGCCCTGCTTCGYCCCAGACACCTGGGTCCCCATCTGCTCCCTGGGCACTGGTTCTGTCTGGGACCAGCCCATAGCTTAGGCCTGTCCTTCCCGTCCACCTTCCAGTTTTAGTCATCACGGTTTTGAAAACAGGGTCCCCTCGGGGCGGGCGGCGCTGCCCGAGCGCTAAATGCGGCGCCCGGTGACGAGGGTGCTGGGTGTGCTGGAGGGTGCCGGGTGTGCCGGTGCCGTCAGCAGAGCCGCCAAAGCAAAACGTGCCGGGCAGTGGGTCACCACGTGGCCTCGCTATTCTTGGCAGCACCGTCATCACGACAGGGCCCCGGGGATGGGCGGCCGCCCCCGCGGAGCCCGGCCGGACCCAGCGGGACAGGCCCTGGGCGGGCACGGAGCCGTTCGCTKCCGGGGCTGGAACGGGTGTTTGGGCCGTGCCAACCCCTCCGGCATCTTTGCCAGTCCCGCCCCGGCGCCGGGAAGCGCTGGCGTAAGGAGGGAGGAAGCGTGTGGCCTCCTCCCAGCGCTGGTTCCCATTTGGGTCAGGCCTCATCCCTCCTCCCTGGCTCCAGGTGAGGTGCGGGGCCGGGGAGGGGGGACACGGAGGGGGGTCCTGGCGCCTGCCTCGGTGCGAGGGGGTTAAACCCCGACGGGGCAGGCGGGGGATGGTGGGAGGGCAGAGCCCTGGCAGCTGCTCCTGGCAGGGCCCTTGTTTTCCTGCACTCGGAGATCCGGCTTTTCTCCTGCTCCTCCTCCTCCTCCTCCTCCCGGAGCGGCTGGCGCGGGGCCTGGCCGGCCGCTGCTCGGGGGCTCCCGCGGGGGCCCGGCCCTCGGGGCAGCGCCGGGGGTCCCGGCTCTGCTCCCTGGGGGGCGCCATCGCCCATGGGTGGGGGCACCCCCAGAGCAGGGGAGGGCCTGGGGGTGACACCGGCTTCGCAGCCCGAGGAGCTGCCGCGCTGGGTGCCAGCGCAGAGGGCAGCGCCGCCTGCCCCACCTCGCCGCCCGCCTGCCCCATCTGCAATGGGTCTCCCCTCAGCTCCGTCCCCAGGGCGCCTGGCGGGGCCCGGCCCCACAGGGAGGTGACGGAGCTGACGGAGGTCACGTCATTGTCATTGTCATTGTCATTGCGGGTGGGCGCTGCCCGCGGCCGGCGTCTGACGCTGTCCCCGGGACTCAGGGCCCTGGAATGCGGCCGTGGCCAGGGACGGTGACGGTGGCAGGAGGCCCCTGGCTCTCTCTGCCGCCCGGCCGCTCTCTTGGCTCTCATTAAGTGGAAGCGACTATTAAAGGTGGAGGGTGGCGGTTTCTGCGGTGGCTCCAGCCCTCCCGGGAAGGTGCTTTGCGGTGTGTCCAGCCCCTGTGTCCCCATTCCCATCTGGCTTTTGGCCCCATGGACGGATCCCTGGGGACCTGCGCGTGCCGGGGGTGCATCTGCGTTGGGGGTCAGTCCTGCCGGGTGCTGCCGGGCCACTGATGCCCCTCTCGTTTCCTCCCACAGGAGACACTCGGAGCCAACATGTCCCAGCCCAGCGCCCCCCCTCCCTATGATGACAAGAACCCCCTGTACCCGCCGCCGCCAGGGGGCTACCCCCAGCCCCCCCACTATGGCGGGGGGTACCCGCAGCCAGGGGGGTACCCGCCGCCGGGGGGGTACCCGCCGCCGGGGGGGTACCCGGCACCAGGGGGGTACCCGGCACCAGGGGGGTACCCCCAGCCGGGGATGGCCATGCCCACCATGCCCATGCGCTTTGGTAAGCCGGGAGCTTTGCTTTGGGGGGTGCTTGGGGGGCAGGATGGGCCTCGATGGGGTCCGCGCTGGTGCTGGAAGGGGCTCCCAGCCTTTCCGAGCACCCCGGGCGGGCAGCGTCTCTCGGACGGGGCTGGATCCTGCGCCCCGGGAGCGCTGAGGCCTCCCCTGGCTCCAGGTGACGGCTACGGCGGCGAGGGCGCAGGCGAGGGCACCCCCTTCCAGCCGGGAAACTGGGACGACAAGAAGGTCCGGCACACCTTCATCCGCAAGGTGAGGCGCCCCGCTCGGGCCGTGGGTACCGCGTGTACCCGCGGGCACCGTGTAGGGGTGTAGGGGACCCGAGCTGACCCTCGGCTCCCGCAGGTCTACGCCATCATCTCGCTGCAGCTCCTGGTGACAGTGGGCATCATCGCCGTGTTCACCTTCGTGTGAGTGGGGCGGCCGCGGGCGGGCTGCGCGGGGCGGTCCGTGCGCTCCGGGCCCGCGGGCACGGCCGGGGGGCGCCGCTTGCCCGGGCCCCCCTCACGCTGGGCGCCGCTGTCCCGCAGCTCCCCCGTGCGCTCCTTCGTGCAGAGGAACGTCGCTGTCTACTACGCGTCCTAGTGAGTAGGGGGCTGCGCGGTGGCGGGCGGGAGGGCCGTGCCCGGCCGGTGCCGGGCTCCGTGCCGCCCGGCGCTGAGCGCCGTGTCCCTGCCTCCGCAGCGCTGTGTTCCTGGTGACCTACCTGGTGCTGGCCTGCTGCCAGGGCCCCCGGTGAGTCACCCCGCCGGGCACACGGCGGGCTCCTGGCTCTGGAGACCACCCCTTGAACCAGGCTGTGGGGTCCCTGCGTGCGGGACACCCGCGGGACACGCAGAGCCCGTCGCCAGCTCTGCCCTTTGCTCTGCTTCTGCAGGAGACGCTTCCCCTGGAACATCATCCTGCTGAGCGTCTTTGTGAGTGGCCGAGCGGGCCTGGGGCTGCAGGATCCTGGGGTGCCCGTCAGCCGCCCCCTCGTCCCGTGGGCCCGGCTGTGCTCTTAGCAGGGTGGGATCCAGCCGGCACGTGGCGGGGAAGGAGGCAGCTCCCATGGGATGGGTTTGGAGCTGGCGGGAGCTGCCCCATGGCAGGAGAGCAGCTCCCGCTGAAGGAGCGGGACAGACCCGCCTCCCCGGAGGGTGAATCTGAATCTGTGTCCGGGTGGTGTCGCTGAATGGGCTGCTCTCTCTCCCGCAGACGCTGGCCATGGGCTTCATGACGGGCACGATTGCCAGGTAGGCAGCAGGGCAGGGCAGGGGGGCAGATGTGGGCAGAGCCGCAGGGACCGGGGCCAGCGTTGGCCCTCAGTGCCCAGGGTCTGTCCCGTCGCCCAGAGCCATGGGAATGAGGCAGCCCAGGCCCAGGGGCTCCTTCCTTGCTGGAACGATCATAGCCATGGGCCACGGGGCTGTTGATGCTCTCTGGGCTGCCCTGCAGCTCGGGGTGACTCGGGTGTCCTCTCCGTTCGCAGCACCTACAGGACCAACGCCGTGCTCATCGCTATGCTCATCACGGCCATCGTTGCCATCATCGTCACTGTCTTCTGCTTCCAGACCAAGGTGAGCTGCAGATGTGCCCATGGGGCAGGTCCGAGGTGCTGGGACACTGGGGACCCCAAGAGGGTGCCCTGTGGCGCCCGTGAGCTCCGCGTGGCCCCACGTTCCCCCGTGACACGCGTGCCCTCCCGGCAGGTTGATTTCACATCGTGTCCCGGGCTCTTCTGCGTGCTGGGCATCGTGGTCATGGTCACGGGGATCGTCACGGCCATCGTCCTCTCCTTCAAATATGTGAGCAGAGCCGGGTGCAGCTCCGGGGGGACGTCGGGAAGGCGCCGGGAGCGGGCGGAGGGGCGCGGGCGCCGCTCGCTCCCCTCACGTGCGMCCGCCCGCAGGTCTCCTGGCTCCACATGCTGTACGCGGCCATCAGCGCCATCGTCTTCACCCTGGTGAGTTGGCGGCTCTCCCGCCGTGCCCTCGCGGGAGCAGCAGCAGCAGCGCCCACAGTCTGGGGGCTCCCCTCGGGCGCCGGTGCCTGATGCCCACCCCGTCCTCCCCAGTTCTTGGCCTACGACACCCAGCTGGTGCTGGGCAACAGGAAGAACACGCTGAGCCCCGAGGAGTACGTGTACGGCGCGCTCACCATCTACACCGACATCATGTACATCTTCACCTCCATCCTGCAGCTCGTGGGCCGCGACTAGCGCCGGCCTCGCTCGGGGCCCGCGCGCCGCCTCGCCGCCCTCCGCTGCTCTTCTCCGCTCCAAAAGCTGCTCCTCTCCCTCCTCCTCCTCGCCCGGGAGCCCGGCACGTGGCCGGGGCCCTGGGGCTCCTGCCGGCCCCGTCGGTGCCCCGGTGGCCGCTGTGGGGCTGGGGGTGCCCAGGGCCCCTCTTGCAGGGGGGCTCAGGGCTGCTGCCGCGGGCACCGGGGCTGCCCTCGGGACAAGGGGCTCCGGAGCCGCTGCCGTCACGGTCACGGCGACGGGCACAGAGGGACCCCGGTGYCTGGGCAGGGCTGCCCCCCGTGCTGATCCGCAGGCTCCCTCTGCCCACGCCTGGCACGCGGCTGGGAGACAAAGCAGGAATCGGGGCCTGGCGCGGGGGCAGCGCTGCCCGGCAGAGCGGCCGTTCCTCGGCTTGCGAGCAAGCAGCGCGGCCGGCGCTCGGCCTCGTCCCGCGTGCCTCCCGGTGCCCCGTCCCCTGCCCGGAGGCTGCTGAGGGAAGGGCTGCCCGGGATCCCCCGGGCTGCCCCGGCTCGGAGCCGGGTGCGGGCAGGGGAGCTGGCAGCCGTGTCCAGGTAGCTCCGATGGCGGCGCCCGCGCGGGAGCTGGGGCCGGGCTGCGGCATCACCGGGAGCCCGGGCTTGCTGCAGGGAGGGCCGGCTCCGCTTCCTTCACCCAGTGCCTTAACCGCAGCCGTGTGGGGCTGCCCCCCGGCGTGCTCAGCCCCCCGGCCGGCCCCGTGGCGCCGCGCTGCGGCAGGGCCCGCTCCGGGAGCAGCTCCTGGGGCCTCTCCAGGGACCTGTGTTACAGGGGAGCCGCTCGCCCGGCCCTCGGTGGGGCCAACGTTGCACTTGCTGAATAAAACACTTTAATTTTCCAAAGAGTTGTGTGGTGGCTCCGCCGGGCTGCCTGCCCCCCTCGTGGGGCTCCCGGCTTCGCAGAGGGCCTCGGCTGCAAGGCCCGGCTCTCGTGCAGCGCTGTGGGGATCGGCAGGGCTGAATCSTGGAATCGCATGGAATCATGGTTGGAAAACACCTTATAGATCCCCGAGTCCAGCTGCAAGCCCCTCAGGCCTCCCCAGGCCCCCGCCCCAGCTTYGTTGCTCTCCTTCGGACACCCTCCTGCACCTCCATGTCTTGCTGGAGGTGAGACAGGCCGGGAGGTAACTGCCCATGCTCAGCAGGGACCTCTTCCCATCCTTCCTTGTTCCTCGATTCCGCCCGCCCTGCCCTGCAGCCAGAGGGTCGGGGATCCTCAGGTGCGTGTGGAGTGTCCCCTGTGCTCTCCTCGAGACGACTGCAGGTTGCAACCCCAGCCATCCATCTCCTCCCCACACTCGGATGGTTCTCAGCCTCTCTGCCTCCTCCTGCAGCGCTGCCACCAGGCTGAGCAGCTCMCCTGCCCACTGACACCCGATGCAGGTGTGCCCCCTGTATCCCTGCCTGCCCCCCTGCCAGCCCCCGTGGCCTGCCGGCGGGGCCGCTCCGGGGCTGCCTCCTGCCTCCCCGTGTTGATCCGCAGGCTGTGGGAGGAGGCTGCGGGAGCGGCAGCTCCCGGGAAGCGGCGCGCRGGCGCACGGCTGCTCCGGGCAGCGCAAGGGCGGCCTGGCGGCGATAAGGCCAAGGCCGAGCTGTTCCCGCTGCCTTCCCCGCCCGCCCCCGCAGCAGGGCCGGGTGTTTGCCGGGAATTGCTGGGAAGGCTCCGCCGGGAGGGGGTGGGTGCAGGCAGAGCCTGGCGCGGAGCGCGCAGGGATTGACGACAGCAGCACAGGGCTGTCCCAAGGCCCGGGTTTATTTGCCAAAGCGCAGCACCCCACAAGCGCCGCGGTGCCGGGGAGCGGGTCCCAGGGCCGCGGGCGCAGCGGGGCCAGCAGCTCCCGGGGTGTCCCGCTGCGGCGCCGGCTCCGCGGGGCCGCCGGGCTATGCCCCCCGCGCCGCTCGCTTGTATCGCTCCGTTTCGTACTCGCCCTGGTTGGAGCCCATCATCTTGCGGCGGATCCGGAGCTGCTCGGCGCGGTTCTTGTCCACTTGCTGCTTGGCCAGCAGGAAGAGCGCGATGCCCGAGGGCAGCCCGATGGCCCTGCGGGCGGGAGATGGGCAGGGGGCGCAGGGAGTCGGGGCCCTGGGACACCCTGGGGCGGGACGGACACCCACCCCGGGTGGGTCGCAGCCCTGGGCGACCCCGGGGACCCCAACCCGACCCACCGAGGGGCYGCACTCACCAGGCCACCCCCACCATCCTCATGGGGTTCTTGCCCTTGCGCCGCGGGATGTACTCGACGCCCTCGGGGAGCCGCCCGCGGGGCTCGGCGCCGCCGTGCCGCTCCGCC